CGGTGAAAATAAAATTTTATTTTCTAATTTCAAAATAAAAATTTGTGTCTCGAAAACAATAATTATACTCTTAGGTTCTCCTTCATATTGAAGTATTCTGTCTGCAATTTTATTAGCAATGAAAATTTTTATAAGCGTGAGTTAATGCTTTAACACCTGTGTTACACCTGAGTAAAGAATATTAGTCTACAGAGCGTCTACCTTCAGCTCAGGTTATGATCCTGGGATCCTGGGATCCTGGGATCAAGCCCCTATGTCGGGCTCCCTGCTCAGTGGGGAGACTGCTTCTCCTTCTCCTGCTCCTCCCTGCTTGGGCTCACTCTGGCTCTGTCTGTTAAATAAATAAAATCTTTACAAATATATATTTAAGGGCCCCCTGGGTGGCTCAGTTGTTAAGTGTCTGCCTTCGGGTCAGGTCATAATCCCAGGGTACTGGGATAAACCTCACATCCTGCTCCCTGCTTAGCAGGGGGCTTGCTTTTTCCTCTCCCAATCCCCCTGCTTACGTTCCCTCTCTCACTGTCTCTCTCTCTCTCTCTGTGTCAAATAAATAATTATTTAAAATATATATGTATTTTTTAAAAAAGAATATTAGTCTACAAATAAGTAATTGTGTAAAAAAACAGTTCACCCGTGCGTGACTACCACAGACAATGCATACATGCTTAGAGTTGAAAAGATGATCATCAGTGAAGTCTGGCTCTCAGAGACTCGGGAGAACAAGTTGCTTCTAATACTTGCTTTATCACTGAAAATATTATGTAGGTGATAAATAAGTGATCCACTGTGTTCAGTATAGACCTAACTCTATAAATGACTGAATTAATCACATCCCAGAGATACACTGACGTTTTTACTACTGGAAGTCTTTAACATGAAACAGCTAATAACAGGACCTCTATAAGAAAAATGGAAATAATCTGAAAGTTTCAGGAAATACCAAGGTAAATATTATATTCTAAGTATACATATAAACATTTCTATACATATAAATTATTAAATATACTCTCCTGTAAAACAAAATGTCTTATATCAAAAACATGTTTTTAATATTTACATGTATGCATTTTTTAGCCTGAGAGTAAACACAAGGTTCTGGAGTAGAGATCAGAGTTATTATTACTTACACCAAAAAATGTATACCACTTTTCCCACACCTAATATGTCACAGGCATCCTATAGTGAGCCAGTTGGTTAGGCCTGTATATACAGGGGTTGAATCATAGGAAAGGGACCCAAAACTATCATAGTTGCCCAACTGCTACTTTCCCAGAGAAAAGCAGAAAAAAAGCTAATCTTCCTAATGTAAGCAAATTCTCCTTAGAAGAGGGAAGGTCTCAGAGTTCTTACCCTTTGGAATGTAAATAAATGTCTCCTTAGGGAAGATTAACTTCACAGGGTTTACAATCTCAATCTTGAATGTGTCTCAGGCTCTGAGTTTTATAACCCTTTGGAAAAAAAAAACAAACTTCCTGGGCATTCTCTAACAATCTAATCTCTTAACAATCTTTTAACTTCTAAGTCTTGCCCTTTAACCCAAGTTCTAGTTTTCTTGGCTTACAAAGCTGTGACCATACAGAAACATGAAAATATACACTTCCTGATTAATACACAGTAAAATGAACCAAAACATTTATATTTGCAGCCCTTGTTAATATTTGACACCTCCTAAAATATTGGCTTTCACACCATTTCTGAAGAGCCCTAGGGAATTCCTCGGAGTTGCCCCAGAAGCCTCTTTTGAGGGGGGCATTTAGAGGTGCAGAGTGAGCAGAGCTCTGAAACCCCAATTCCTGCTTCAAATACATCCCATCTGCTCTCAAATGTTGGGCTTCCAATAACGTTTTTTGAAGATAAGGCTCTACCAAAATATATATATATTTGAAATCCCCTTGGCAGGGGGGTACCCACCAAAAAATCCTGGGCAACCTAAATAAAAATCCTGTCTTATAGAAACAGACATGGTTTCATTTATGTTTACACTTAAATTTTCTTGGTGTGGTGCTCTTATTTGCATTAATGTGAAACCTAATGAAACACAGAACACCACAAAGTTCATCAATTCTTTCTGGGGCTCCAGATATTGTTCACAGGTACTCAGAAAGTTCTTGATGTTTTGCTTGTTGATGTCCTATGTATACAATGCCACTTGAAAAAAAGTACCTAAACACTAGTAGTGTCTTCCATTTCTTCCTGTTTTCTATTACTGATCCTCCCTAAACAGTGCTGTAATTCTCTTTTGGGGGGAAACCAAAACCTCTGTTGCTCACAAATATAAGAGGTGCCCTTTTCACGGGACTCAGATTTCAACGAGCAGCTACCGTACTCTCATATCCACCACTCCAGTTCCTCACTTTTCTACTTCCAGGTAACCCAACATAAAACTTCCTCCCCCTTCCTTCACCTCTCTTCCCCAGCACTCACCACCATACAAATAAACTGAAGACAAATAGATGTGTCAGCCCCACCAGTTCCGGCACCCAGATTGCAATTCCCACGCTGACACATGAGTAGATTCTAGCAACATTTATAAAAATTCAGTATTAAGGTTATACGTGCTAGTCTCTAAATCTAAAATAATACACTATACAGCACTTCCAAAATTTTACAATGTTTCTCTATTGCATTTTTTTTAAGATTTTGTTTATTTATTTGAGAGAGAGAAAGCAGAAGCAGGAGGAGCAGCGAAAGGAGAGGGAGAAGCAGGCTCCCCACTGAGCAGGGAGCCTGATGGCGGGTTTGATTCCAGGACCTTGGAATCATGACCTGACCCTAAGGCAGATGCTTAACTGACTGAGCCACCCAGGCAACCCTAACTATTGCATTTTCCAAAGGCTAGACTGGGTGGCTCAGTCAACTGGGCATCTGTCTTCAGTTCAGGTCACGATCCCAGGGTCCTGGATGGCGCCCTGTGTCAGGCTCCCTGATCAGTAGGGAGTCTATTGCCCCCTCTGACCCTCCCCCCCAGCTCAGGCTTCTGGTAGTGCCCGCACAGACACGCGTGCACTCCCTCTCTCTCAAATAAATAAGTAAAAATCTTTAAAAAAAAAAAAAAAAAAAAAAAAAAGGACAGACTTATTGTCAATTCATATATCTTTACTTAGGGGGAAAAAAATCTCCTGGGATTCAAGAAACCTGAGTGCTGGTTGCACCTCTGCTTGTTGTGTGAACTTAAGCTAGTAACTTAACTTCTTTTGGCCTATTTCTCATCTCTAAAAGGGCAAATTGCCTATTCTCAGAAGTGATCCAAGTGGGATTAGGAGTTTTCATATAATTATTAACTCTCCTGGGACGCCTGGGTGGCTCAGACGGTTGGCGTCTTACTTGGCTCAGGCCTTGATCTCAGGGTCCTGGGATAGAGCCCTGCACCAGGCTCCCTGATCAGTGGGGAATTTGCTTCTCCCTCTGACCCTCCACCACGGTCGTATTTTCTCTCTCACTCTCTCTCTCTCAAATAAATAAAATCTTAAAAAAAAAAAAAGAAAAAAAAGAATTAACTCTCAACACTTATATATCCCTGCAAACCTGATGAAGGGTACACCGCTATGTATAATCTACCTGTCAAAAATTCTGCACTGTACTTCTTTCCTTCCCCCATTTCTAATGGAAGTTCCTGTGTGCAGAAGACAGCAAGATATCACTACAGGAAAGAATATTCTAGAAGTGTAGGCCAAGTAAAAAGACAACATACCGTACTTTAATCAATTCTGCAAATCAGTCGCCAGTTATTTTAAAAAAAAAAATTAACAAAGGTAATTTTGGTCCCCGTCGCCTTCATTTTCTGCCCTCTCTACCCAAAAAAGATGGGTTGGTGATATGAAAGGTAAGACAAGTGAGAATCACTGAACCATAATGATGTGACCGACCCCATGGTTCATTCAATAAATATTTGAGTGCCCAATTACCAGGCATTAAGCTAAGCAACCAAGACAATGCCCAAAGGCTAAATTTTGGGGCGATATAGAGAAATACATACTGAAGTGGATCATCTGGGGTCCTCACGCCTTAAATGCTTCACTAAGCCTTGAAGGCATTATCCTGACTTGATTGATTCTACAACTGTGTCAAAAGGAGAAATTAAGTGAACAGAATTCCCTCAGCATAACCGAAAGCCATTTGTGTCTCCACTCCTCGAGGAGGATGCAAGCTGAGAACACATCACACTTCAGCTGGCCTTGTCCCCGAGCACGTGTCACAGAGACAGCGAGGAGCGGCTCCCCGCCACCCCCTGGGCTGTGATCTCAGGAGTCCCAAAGTTCTTCAGGATTCTGTTTCCCACAAGCTGATTCCACGAGTCACACGGGACCCTCGTTCCCAAACTCCGAGGGAGTAAACAAAGTTCTATAAACGGTAATAACTTTAAACCCCATCTCTAAATAAAATTCTGGGACAGGTGTCTGGTACCAAAGCGTGTTTTATTAGACATCAGGTGTCATGCTTGGATTAGCACATTTGTCTTTATAACCAAAAGTCTGTGAAACAGTCAAGATTTTCAGAGCTTTGGTCAAAGTGTGCTCTTCGAAAATCAGCATCCGAGCGCCGGAGCCACCTCCCTCCCCCGCCTCCGAGTAACAAGAACAAGGAAGGAGTAAAGTCCGACATTAGTTACCACGGCCTCTCCCCCCGTCCCGCAGAGCTGTACTCGGAGATCCTTTCTGAAAGGCGGCCGGGTGCACCTTCTCAAAGTGAGTTAAACTCGGGACATGAGGCAGGGTAGGGGTAAGGGGCAGAAGCGAGCCCAGGACGACCGCGCTGGGGCGCGACCTCTCCGCCCCCGGCCTGGACGCCGAGCAGGGTGACCCCGGGGAGGCCGAGGTGCGGGGCCAGGCCGGCCGCGGGGCCACCGAGCGAGGGCCCCGAGAGGCGGGAAAGGCCAGAGGGTGGGCTGTGGGGGCAGGAGACGCTTCGGGAAAGCGCGGGCGCTCGCCCCACGGCGCCGCCGGAGGGGGAGACCCGGGCCGGAGTCCCCTTCGCCGCCCGGACCGCGTCTCGGAGGGTACCTGACTGCGGGCGGCCGGTCCACAAACCCCTCCCGCCGCCCGGGCCGAAGAGGAGGCGGGTTCTCCGCAGAGCCACGACCCTCGCCAGCGTCGCCAGCATCGCGCGCCTCTCAGATAGCCTAGGTCCCGGCGTGAGGAGAGAGTGCAGCGCGCGCGCCGCCCGCGGCCCGCGCCACAGGGGGCGCCCGTGAGCAAATCAGGCCCCGCCCTCCTCCCGCCTAGTGGGTGGGCCTCGCCGGGCAGTGCTTGCGCGGTTAGTGCTTTCCGGGCGGTGCCTTCCAGTTCGTGCAGTGGTTCGCTTAATCGGTCCTGAGCAGGCTGCGCAAGACCATAAATGCCTTTGCTGGAGCTGAGTGTTCGGCTTTTGTCCTTTTTCTTTCTCTTGCCTTTATTTAAATCTGCTTGATCTCTACCCAATTCAGTAACCCATTTCCACCGTGCGCCTGCCAGAACCTTTGTGAGGCCGGAACCAATATGCTGTGCCTCGATGGCGGCCGGAGGACTGTTTTGGCAAGGACCATCAAGTCTGTGAGAAGGGTTGGTCGGGACAGTTCCGGCGGGAGAAGGCGGCGGTGAGGTCTTCGTCTTCGTCTCCTGAGATGCACCGACAGAATTTTCGACCCCCGACTCCTCCCTACCCCGGCGCGGGTGTAGGAGGTTGGGGTAGCGGGAGCAGCTTCCGGGGTACCCCGGGCGGAGGCGGACCGCGGCCGCCCTCCCCTCGGGACGGGTACGGGAGTCCGCACCACACGCCGCCGTACGGGCCCCGGTCTAGGCCCTACGGGAGCAGCCACTCTCCGCGACACGGCGGCAGCTTCCCGGGGGGCCGATTCGGGTCTCCGTCCCCTGGCGGCTACCCTGGCTCCTACTCCAAGTCCCCCGCGGGGTCCCAGCAGCAATTCGGCTACTCCCCAGGGCAGCAGCAGACCCACCCCCAGGTAATAATAGCCAGCGTTTGCCGAGCTCTTACTGTATGGCAGGCATGGTACTAATGATAATCCCTTTACATGGATTATTTTGTCTGATCCTCTATGAGGTGAGATACTATTGTTGGCCCTGTTGTGCAGATGAGTAAACTGAGGCTGAGAGAGAAGTTAAGTAACTTACTGTAGGTGACCTTAGGTAGCAGAGCTGTACTTTCTGTTTCTAGAGCCCTCCGGCTTTGAACTAGTACACTGCCGTTCCTACGCACATTTCCCTCATTCCTATCCTTGCCTGCGATCGTGCCAGTTCGTCTGAGTAAATTACTCTCCGAGGGGTAAAACGAATGAATTCCCAGCGTAGAGCTCTCTGGGTTATAGGGTTATAGAGTTATAGACTGGTGCCATTTTCCCACTACTGGCACACTTTTTTGGCGTGGGCGGGGTGGGAGGGAGAAGGTGGTGGGGAGGGGAGCTTCAGACCTACACTGGCTTCTGCTCCAAGTCTTCCTAGGGAAAAATCGGTGATTTGTGGAAGTTTCCCGTTCCTCTCCGTGAACACAGGAGACCGAGGGAGTATTTCTGGTGTGCCTAGGATTCGTGTGATTTAAAATTTAAACGGTTTTCTGCTTTCCGTTGTGCTAAACCAACCCCACCCTTTTTGAGTCTGGAGCTAAGTAGATAAAATTTCATAGGATGGAATTTTGAAGCCGCAGGGTTAAAGCACAGTTTGTTATTTCATCACCAGTTCTGCAGAGTTACTACATTAGAAATCAAAAAGCGTTTGAGCTGACAAATGGAATTATTAATAAACGAGTATGTCAAATTGGCTTAAATACTTTTACAAACAAAAACACTAGATTAAAAGAAGAATGGACTTTGCAGTTGAACATGCTTGGGTTCAAAATAACTTTTAACTAGCAGTGTGATCCCCACTAGCTTTAAAAAAAAAAAAAGTGCCAATTATCTCTACAAAACATTTTTTTAACTGATGATTTTTTTTCTAAAGGGTTCTCCAAGGACATCTACACCATTTGGATCAGGGCGTGGTAGAGAAAAAAGAATGTCTAATGAGTTGGAAAATTATTTCAAGCCTTCAATGCTTGAAGACCCTTGGGCTGGCCTAGAACCAGTATCTGTAGTGGATATTAACCAACAATACAGCAATACTCAAACATTCACAGGCAAAAAAGGAAGATACTTTTGTTAACATTTCTGAAATTCACCCGGAAGCTTCATGTGTCAGGAACATCTTGGACAAAACTTTTACTCCTGTAATTAAGTTGAACCCTAAGATGGTGACTGAATAATTAGTTGAGTCTTCTTGGTATTTTTCATCTTATCAAGTATTGTTGAGATTAGAGAAGACATACAGTAGAGTAATTTGCAATATTTAGCTCTTTGGAAGTGCCTACCACATTTTAGAAGATTCACAGTTTCCAAATATTTAATGTTCATGGTTATATAATGGACATTTGTCTTTCAGTGGTTTTCCAATGTTTTAAAATAAAACATTTTGTCTTTCTAGATATATTGTGGTTTTGTCATATGCTAAAGAAGTAGAATTATTAAAATATTGCCTGTAATCACTTGCTTAGTATTCATAGGTAAATATTTTGCATACGACTTTTGAAAATGAAATAAACCATCCTTAGAGATACAGACAGTTCTGTATTTGTTCACAGGGAAAGAGGGTGAATGAAGAGAACAGAAAAGAATTCTATTCATATTTATTATAACCATTGTTCTTTGTGCATATTTTATGTAATGCTTTTGTAAATGCATTGAAACTTGAAAGTCACAGAAACCCACTTAAAGGGTATTTATACTTTTTATATTCATTTAACTGGAGAAGGCAATGATAGATAATAGCTAGATTAAAGTGTTCTGTATCTGAATTTCTCAACATCTCTCAATATTTTGGAGTCATTTTCTCTTGAGCCAAGGAAGATGGGTACCAGCATTCTGAAATCACTTCCTTTGTGAAGAGAACATCTCCCAACACTGTCCATCCCAAGAAAAACAGATTTGTCCTACCTGGATCATGTTTCTGTATTCCTGAACCAATAATGGCCCAAGCAATGAGGCCTGATTAGCTTGAGCTATGAACCTCCCCTATAATGAGACACGGCTCCACTAGGCCTGCGTGGATTAGAAAAGTGGTTTTCCAAAGGAAGGGATGCTACCCATGTATACCTAAATTAACTATTTCTTCCCAAATATTTTAACAAAACTAAGTCTTCTAACATTAGGACTTTTTAGATATTTTGATATCACAACATGATGAAGATAAAGCTAGTTAAAATTCTCTTTAAACATTCCCAAAAAGAAACATCTAAAAATGAAATGGTCACACAACCTGTTTGAGCCATACTCAGTTTCTTACCTCTTGGGTCTCAGAGGCAAAGAAGAAAAGGAGAGGGAAAGAGTTTAGACTAATAGAAGCTCCACGACAGCCAGGACTATTTGTACCAATTAAAAGCTGGATGAGTTATTTAACTTCTCTATGCCTCAATTTTTTTCATATGTAAAATGAAAATAGTACCCATGTCATAGAGGTGTTGTGTTTGAGGATTAAAAGGGTTTATATGTGTGCAACTCTTAGGCCAGAGCCTGGCACATAGTAAGCACTCAATAAATGGTAGCTATTACTTTCTCATTCACCCCTATAGAGCATCAGCTGCTAGAATGATGTCTGGGGAAATAGTAGGTGCTTAATAAATACTTGGTGAATGAATGCAAGCATTCTGATTATAACTACTGTATTGCTCTGCCTTGTCTCCTGTTATAAAAGGAATAGTAAATTAGTAATTTTCCCCAGTATTTTAAAGGAAATGTCTTTATTCTCTAACGTCTTTCCCAGATGATTTGAGGTCATGAAGTGTGATGAAAATTAGAGCAAATGGAATACTTTTGTAAACCTTTTAATGAATTTTATAGGTAAGAAATACTATCTTTAGGAAATGGCATTTGGAAATAATTATTAAACCACCTCTTAGAGATCACTGGGTTATTGGCAAAGATGAAAAAGGAAGTCAGAAAGGATTTTGTGCCATTGTATTCATAGCATATTTGGAAGATACACAAATTGTAACAGTTCTAATGGTTTACGTGCATTTTATTTCACTGTAAGTATAATATTAAATATTTAGTTAAATGTAAAATTTCTTTTTTGCTAAGTCACCAACATCCACTTCAGAGCCAAGTTTTTCTGACTTTCCTGAGAGAGACTTTTGTCCTCAGGAAAGGTACATTACTGTTTGGCTCTAGTTGGTGGTGTATTCAGTTAACAAAATTCTTGCGACATTGATAATTTGGTTTGTTTCTATTATTAGTCTATCTTTGTTTAGCTGAATCAAAGAATTGATCATTCTTTAAAATGAAAAATAATTGTTTTTTAGTGTTCCAAAATACACATATTTACCTCCATAGAAATGCTATATAACTTGGAAAATTTTTCAGCTAAGTATGCGTCTTAAATATTCAGGTAACTCAAGAACGGAAGTTGGGTCTTCAAACAAGGGTATATGTACTTCTGGGAGTCTTCAACCTTCTAAGGGAAATGCAGGCATAGATAACATTCCAGATCCCCACTTCCCATATATATACTCTTTGTTAAGATGATCTGTCTAAAGAACATTTCCATGTTCAATGGATTACGCCAGTTCTTTTTACCTTCTGCCTTTTCGTTGTCACCCTCTCCACTTTACATAATAAAACTATGGCAAGCTTGTGTTTTATAAAATAACCCTAACAATATTTCAGGTCCCACATAGTCTTATAGAACCTTGCACTACCCCATCAAGATGTGGAGTTACAGCCCTTCCCTTTCAACCTGCTCCAGACAGACCTTTCTGACTGCCCAATTTAAGAAAGTACGGTAGAAGTTAGTTTTCATTATTGGTGAAGTGTGGTCTTAGAAATGGGTTTATTGGCCCATGTGGAGATGTTCAGAATTCAGATGTGTTGTCAAGTAGGAAATAGTATAATGACAGTTTTTGTTTAATGGCCTTGACTTTTTTGTTTCCTGACTTCAAAAAACCTCAAGTTTTTTTTTTCCTATGGGTGAATCATGTGAAAGTAAAGCAGAGAACAAGAACATAACATGAAGGTAAAGTTACCTTATTTTTAGGCAACAAATGATTAGATTATTTGCCTTATCTATTTTAGAATATTCAAAATTGGTGCAAAAGCATGATGGATTTTGGTGAATGCTGTTAAGCAAGCTATTTTCACCATTCTCCA